CGTCCCCCGGCACAGCTCTCCTTCCGCCAAGTTCCATCGTCATCCTCACGTGGCGCCCCTTCCGTCACCTGCGCGTCTCTTAAAGCGCAGAGGCACGCCGAATTACCTGATTCGAGTGGACGAAGGCCCTTCGCCATCCACCTCATCAGCCTCGGGCACCGCCGACTCACTCTACGCGACTTACGCGGCGAATCTTGTTCCTCCTCCCCCCCCCTCCCCCCGCCTCCTCCCTAACTCCTCGCAAACCCTTTCGTCCCTATCATCCTCCCCCATTTCCTAGTTTTCCTCTTTCGCGTGCTTTTGTTCGTCGGTAAACGTAAGCTCGAATCCCGGGCTTATGGATGTTATGAAACGGCTTTTTACGGGCTCGTAAGCTACTCTTGCGTACCAATCATTTTGGTATATAATAACGCGCGGGACGCGGCAAGACGCGGCATTATCCCAATAGAAAGTACTAAACACACCAAAGAAATCAGCATGCAACATTTACAATGCTAAAATTTTAAATTATAGATTCCCTTGGGCATTAGGATTGATTGCAAAATTGGTCGGTGAGCTTTTACGTTTCCTTAATCGTCAATCGTTTCTCAATCCACGCGTTAGTTAATCCTTTCTCATTCTGGATGGATATGAAATATTGGGTGGTTGGAAGGGAGGGGGGTCCACACAGAGAGAGAGAGAGAGAGAGAGAGAGAGAGAGAGAGAGGGAGGGAGGGAGGGACGAAGGAACGAAGGAAACCAAGGCTAATTAATGTTAACGTCAATGTTTTATACTTGGTTGACGCGTGTGCCCGCGCTTAATCAGTAAAATGAGCGGAAATAATTTGACTTTGAATTAGGGTCTGAATTGAGTTACGGCAGTACTTTAAAAAAAAAAAAAAAAATAAAAAACTAAAGTACATTTCGAACAAAACTTTAAGTAGTTGCATAGTAAGACAGTAGTTGAGCAATATGCCACATTGATTAAACGGGTATTCAAAATTTAAAACATTTTTTCACAAAGTTAACTTCAAGACGATGGCAACACAATGCTCGACACAGTATCATCTATCTACCTACTATCTCCCTTGTTCCCTTGTTCCCCCCCTCCCTCCCCCCCCCTCACCCCTCCCCACACCTCACCACCTCACCACCCACCACCCACCAGCCACCACCCACCCCCCACGACACAAATATGAACAAGCAATCGTTAATCGGCCGCACGAATCACGTTTGGAAACCACTGACTGACTGTTGAACATAATCCGTGTACTTGTCGGCACGTAATTGTCGAGCGCGTAAACGTCCATGATTGGGCGCGTTTTAAGCTCGATTTAATCGTAGCGACGACAGCTCTTTAAAGAAATAAGGAACTCCCGAGAATGTCTCACCTATCTCCTTCCATTGCAGACATCCAGAGCTGCGACAGCGTGAAGATAAAGTTCGAGACTCTGCACACGATGGACTCGTCGGATACGATCGACATCGACAGCCACATGTCCGACCGGGCGAGCGTAAGCTCGAAAAACGCGGACGACAATATGATGATGATTACCCCGGAGCTTTTGGGACTGATGCCCTCCGGCAGCTCCGTGCACTCGGACTCGGGCGAGAATAATTCGCGCAGCCACTCCGGGCAGTCGGGTTCTCATCATCACGGCTCCAAGTCCTGGACGCAAGAGGACATGGACGCGGCACTAGAGGCCCTCAGGAATCACGACATGAGCCTCACGAAAGCCTCCGGTAAGCCAACTCTTCCTCTTCCTCTTACTCTTGCCGCTCAATCTCCTTAACTACCACCTCCCCCGCCATCGCGTCCTCCTCCTCATCCTCATCCTCATCCTCATCCTCATCCTCATCCTCATCCTCATCCTCATCCTCCCTCCTCATCCTCCCTCCCCATCCTCCTGCCCCTACATCTCCTTATTGCGAGAAATCATCTGCATGCTTAATTTATAATTGCCTCTCGACGTCGAGGGCGTTTGATTTAATTTATCCCGACAGATTCCCGTTTCTCTTTACATCTGCCCAAGTCGAAGGTGCACCAACAATTTTATGCCTTTCTTCGGGAATATTTGGCCATCGATGCTTCAAGCTTTCGCACAATTATTACATCATCGACACTGATTAATTCCCATCTCCTTTTTCATATTTACCATCATTGCCCAGGATTTTTATCAAGCATCGTCGTCGAAGCCTATCCTCGATCTAAACTCGCTAGAATTGCTCTAACGTGACAAAAGCGTGACAAAAGGCAAAACATCCGTAAAATTTTAGCTCAAATAATGCTTGAAATATCGATCCAACCGCAGCATGGACTACTTTACATTTGCTTTCTCTTGTCTCGTCTTTAATTTAAAGGCATCTCGCCTCCTCCGTACATTTATTCCCAGCGAAACAAACATTAAACGCTCGTAGTTGCTTGCAAAGCCTTTACGTAGCGGGAGTGCCATTGAAAGTACGCGGCTTCGATCTTGGATCATCCGGTGCGGGCCCCCATCCATCATATCAATCGAAGCTTCCTTCTCGGACAGGATAAAACTTGATAAGGAGCCGGGTCCACGTATCCGGCTTATAGCAATCGTTTCGAGTCCCCTATTTAATATTCCGCCCCGCGAATGGGCCTCCGACGCTTCGGACGATCGTTCCGACTTTACTCGAAGGCTCGTCGATGAACAAATCGAACGAGATCGTTTGATTAAAAATCGATGACCTCGAACGCACGAGCGATTGGCCGCCCCAAGTAGGTCAATGCGGACGTGAGCGAAAGTCGCCGATCGAGCCGAGAGACACGCTGTGTAACAATCTTCTTCTCTCTTTCTCCCCAGCGACGTTCGGCATACCGTCAACGACGCTATGGCAGCGGGCCCACCGCCTGGGCATCGACACGCCCAAGAAGGACGGGCCGACCAAGTCGTGGAGCGACGAGAGCCTCAATAACGCCCTGGACGCACTGCGCACGGGCACGATCTCGGCCAACAAGGCTTCCAAGGCCTTTGGCATACCCTCGAGCACGCTCTATAAAATCGCGAGGCGAGAGGGCATAAGGTTGGCGGCGCCCTTCAATGCGAGCCCGACTACCTGGTCACCGGCGGACCTCGACAGAGCGCTCGAGGCCATCAGGTCCGGCCAGACCTCCGTGCAGCGGGCCTCCACCGAGTTCGGCATACCCACTGGGACGCTGTACGGGCGCTGCAAGAGGGAGGGTATCGAGCTCAGCAGGAGCAACCCTACGCCCTGGAGCGAGGACGCCATGACAGAGGCCCTCGAGGCTGTCAGGTATAGTATACGTTCACCAGTACCTAATCCCCGTCGCTTTCGCGTAAAAAGAACAGGCTGTCACGTGTCACGTGTTGCGACACGACCTTTCGAGACACTATTTTGTCGTCTTACTTCTACTTCGCGCGCCGCTCTAAGCGCAATGTATGAAGTGCTCATGATCAGGCACGGAGACCTTCACTGTAATAAATACTTTATATCTTTATGTATTTGCAATGCCGTACGTTCAACTAGCACTTTTATACTTTTGCACAAAAATGGCGGTGGTATTGTTGCTGAAGCTGCTTTTACACGTTGAAGGGATGTTTAATGAAAATCGTTGAATGAAAAATGAAAAAATAAAAGCTATTTCTTAAATTCGCTCATACATCAGCGTTTCCTTGAATCTAAGGTCAATTTTAAAGCTATTATTAATCGCAGGAGCATGCGTACGAAACTTTAAGCGCATGATAAATCGCGTGTGCGTGCTTCAAAATTTTATCCTCGAGCTTAGCACAAAATCGAGCTTCTCTCGATTCAAAAACTCGCCCGCGTATATATTAATTGAGCGCGGTAATGATCCTCTCTCCATCGCGAAACCCCCCGTCTCACACCCCCCCCCCCCCCCCCCCCCCCCCCCCCCCCAAAAAAAAAAACAACAACAACAACAACAACAACAACAACAACCCTGCGATCAACACCAGGTCGTCACAAATCGTCAATCGATACTTACAACGCGTAATGAATGACCTTTTGTACAAATTTCAGGTTGGGACACATGAGTATAAATCAGGCGGCGATCCATTACAATTTGCCGTACTCGTCGCTATATGGACGCTTCAAGCGCGGAAAATACGAGGAGCCGGTTGTCAATGAGATGTCACAGGACGGCTCGTCGCAGCATTTCCACCAGAGTCCGACTCAAAATCACTCATCCTCCCTTCCCGACCAAATGCCCTACCAGGGCAGCTGAAATTTACCCCTTTACTAGATCGTCCGCAGCTGATGATCTAGTAATACGCGAAGGAATATGAACAGCTTAGGCCTTCTTTTTTGAAGGAGGGAGTCGATGCGACTAGATTATTAAAACAAAATTAGCGAGAGAGAGAGAGAGAGAGAGAACTTTGACAAGTATGAGAGTGAGAGAGAAACTCTAGAGGACGACCCAGTTACGAGTCAAATCGTTTAGGGTTGGTTGTGAACGATTGACTTCCTCCTGTTTGGTTATGTGATCGATTCTGTGAGAGCCGCTCTATGAACAATTACAATGGCGTGATGAAAATACGTACGTGGAATATTGTTGTATATAGATTAATCCGAAAGGCTATAGAGCTTTTTGTGTGTAATCATTGGAGCTTACAGTAGTGTCTAATACCGGAGGAGACGAGATCTAGGGTGACGGTTGTAGCTGGCCGTTACTTTCTAACTATAATCAATGATAGAGAGAGGGCAAGTCACATTGTTTTTCTTAATAATGTGCACTTCTAATTTGCAATCTCAGACGGCACAAGATTTATAACGATACGTAACATTAAGCTTCTCATGGCTTGGCGCACGATTATTGGCCATTAATTATCCGTATCACATGCGTATATCGTCGTAATTTATGCTTATTGTTTTTCGAAAAAAAGTAATTCTTTCGATGGACTTCCGAAGTGAAAGGTTAACGTCATTCGCGTAATAGCGGCACGTCCAATCATGTTGACGATTCTCCTTAATAATAGCATATAAGAATAGTGCATTGGGTACATTAGTTCATGATTATAAACGAGCACAAAATTTTTATATGATTTTTTGTTCTTTTAAAAAAATCATTGATAATCATCGGTCATCGACGATCCATTTCAATCTGCTGAATGTACTAACTATAACAGTAATCGTGATTGTTTCGAACTCTTCGATTTCTCAATCAAATAGATTAACGTAGAGAGAGAGAGAGAGAGAGAGATAGAGATAGAGATAGAGAGAGAGAGAGAGAGAGAGAGAGAGAGAGAGAGTGCGTGCGTGCGTGCGTGCGTGCGTGTGCGTGAGTCAAAATTACGATTGAAAATAATCTTAAATTCAGTGGAATCTAGCCGACTTGAGTTCTCTAGCTATTATTTCTCATTTAACCCGCTTTCAACGAGATCGAATCATACATTTCATCGTAATTGCCTTTTGTCATCATACATATTTTGTCTAGTAAATTTCTACGATCTAGACCGCTGGCGGCTTTTCAGATATTTTATTAGGATGCTAAGGCGTTGGCCAAAACCGTCAATCAATGACCGATTGACAAAATACCTAATTATTTTAGCATTTCATCGCTCGCCCATCTCACACGCGAATTAGAACTTCTGAGGAGATTTAATTCCCACCAGAGTATTCATTTTACTATCGATAACAAATTATTTGTCACTACGACCATCGTGACGTACAATAGTTGGCTCACCACATCCAACATCCACGATCGACGTAAAATAAGCAGCCTCGTATAACAATAAATAAGGGCGTTGTCTCGGTAAGATCTCTATCAAAGAACGAATAAGTCGTTGGATGATATGAAGGCTTTGAAGGATTTGAATTCGAGAGCACAAAGTCGGTTTGTCGACATTTTATCGACGTTGACATTATTGGACAAATTTGTAACGTGTCAAAGTATCAAAAACAAAACAAAACAAAAACAAAACAAAAACAAAACAAAACAAAAAAACAAAAAAAAAAACAAAAAAAATGTGGCAAAATGCCGCCGACAAAGTTGATTTTATGTATTATAAAGTGAGCTATATAGACTCGAACGTTCATTTACATTTCTTTTCTTACTTTTCTTTTCTTAATCTGTCGTTTATGTATTTAGCACGGATCTCAGTATCTAAATTAGCTCGCGACTAGATGTTTCGCAAACGTCTATTCGTATTGGTTCTGTTATACGTATATCATATCTCTTGGAGCGCCAATTTCACTGGGGCGGCGTTCTCGCTTTTCAGCGGGCACCCGGGATTTGTCTCCAGGTTTGTTGAACGTTGAGAGAATCCCAGCTCCTCGTACAGCATTCTGAATTCTGTGCCGTAGCCGTAAGTGTAATTATTTCCTTCGTGATCCTCGGCTTCGTTAAAGTCCGTGCAAGTTTCTACTATACACAATAAGGAATTTACGCGTATTATTATTGGCTTAGGGACTCGATTGACCTAGGCCAGATAGATACCCGAATGTGAACCCGAATCATGCGCATAAAGGCAGTCCAAGTGTGAAATGAAAAAAATAAATAAATAAATAAAATGTCGCCAAGGCTATCAAGCACTCGAAATTTGTTAATGCTATGGTGCGGGAGAGAGCGAATTAATAGAGGAATGGAGAAATAGACCGCGAGGCGGTGAAATAAAGAGACGTCTGTTTTTATCGTGGGTCTGCGACAGACTGAGGAGCAATCGTGCACGAAGTCAACCTGACGATCCGACAGTATTAATGAGACAAAAGAAAGATGATGAGAATTTCGATGTTAATAAGGAGAAATTATGTACATACTAAGGTGCATATTATTTTTCTTCTCATCGAATCATGTAATATTTCCCCTCCCCTCCACCACCACCTCCACTCCTCCCTCCCTCCCTCCCTCCCTCCCTCCCTCAAGTTTATGTTACATTTTATCCTTTCCTTTGCGTCTTTTTTTCTCTTTCCCGACGCGTACATTTTTAGCCATTAAATTATAAGAGTGTTTATTTATAAAAGTGAGTAAAAAATATATGAAATAATAAAAGGAGAGGAGCGAAGTGAGGGAAAGCAACAATGTACAGACGGGCGAGGTGCCCGTAAGATTCGTATTTTACATATATAACTGTGCTGCCTAAGGATTCCGAGGATCCTTTTCCGTAAGCGATTAAATGGGGGGGGGGGGGAGAAGAAGAAGAAGGATAAGGCAATCGGAAAATTGGAATTGCGAAGACAAACTAGTGTAATAATGAAAAAAAAAAAAAAATCTTCCACGGTTTCGTTAGCGTTATAAGTAAAAATAATGTTCATTTTCATTCGTTGTTTTTGTTATAAACAAACAAAATAAAAAAAAGAAAGAAAGAAAAAAGATAATAGAAAAAGAAGAAAGAAAAAAAAACGAAACAGGCATTTCAAGCTTTAGTTGTATCATTAATTCTCTTCTTTTTTCTTTTATCTTTTTTCTTTTTTTGTGCAAAAATAAATCCATATTTTGCGATTGATTTTGTTTTAAGTGCTTATTAAAGAGAATGGGGGAGGCAATTACTTTTATTATTTTTTTTTTCTTCTTTTTTTTCTTCTTTTTTTTACTTTTTTTTTTTTTTTTTTTTTTTAATCATATTTTAAGGTTTAAATTATAAAACAGCGAAGCGAGAGAATAATGAAAAAACCAAATAAATCTTTTAAATGATTTTGTTTCGTAATTGCGTTTTCTATTTTGCAAAAATGTATTTACATAATTATAATCAAAGTGGAACAGTGCAAAATACGTAATTTTAGATAACCTTGATTTTATAGGAACGATAAAGCGAAAATACAGAAGAAAATTTTTGATGGAAAATGATTTTATCGAAGGACAAAAATAAAGATTTAATAGAGAGCGTGAATAATGAAGAAGCAATCTTACTATTCAGCATAGAATCGATTGATTAGCGAATATGATAATTATATTGTAATTCATTCAATAGTAGGTAAGACAAAACCTACGAGGTAAAAGTAAAGACACGACGTTCGTTGTTAATTGGTCAAAGATCTTTTTCTGTCTTGCTCAGCATACGTCTATTATGCGATAAAGTTAAACACGGAAAAGGTACACGAGATACACATCATACGAATAATTTATCACGCTCGCGAGACTATTTCGCATAAAATCTACATCACATGCAACAAATACGAAAAAAAAGTATATACATGTATATATATATATATATATATATATATATATATATATACATCTTCAAACATACATAATATAAGCATATATACAAACATGCATACATACATATATATATATGTATATGTATGTATATACACATACACATATGTGTACATGGGCGTGAGTGCGCGAGTGTCATCTATGGATATATATATATATATATATATATATATATACACGCATATACATAATATACATGTATGCATATGTGTATCCTATAAATACATGTACAGTTTATATATTTTAAATTAAAAATTCAAGCAACTGTAAAAAAAAAAAAAAAAAAAAAAAAAAAAAAGGGTAGTGGTTGATTATTGATCCTCCATCCTTATTCTGAGATATCTACAAATGAATTTTTTACAAGTTTCTTAAGGTGTTATTTATATTTACTGTATTTTACACGCTCGGTATGTTTAAAATAAAATTGTATTCAAATGGGTTTTAAATTTAATATTTCACTGTACTTTTGTGTAATTCTGTATTTCGTGTGAAACCGTTAATTAACATTGTATCCAATCTAATTTATATATTATTTTATTTTTTACAATATAAATACCCGTATATTTATCTATAAATTTTTATGCTCAATGGTCATTCACTAATTGCGTAAACACAAGCAACAATTTTTTTTTTTTTTTTTTTTTAATTAACACACAAAAGACTTGAAAGGAGTTTTTTTTTTTAAAAAAAAAATGCATTGTTAGTTAAAGACATGATTTTCAGTGAAACCAATAGGAAATGTTAGAAAAGTATTTTTGAAACGTAACTTGTAATGCAATTTTATTACTCACGTCGATAGAAATATTTTAATTATATTTACTTTACGAATGATAATACACGTAATTTATTTTTATAAGATTTGTTTTATATAAGCTTTTTAAATTTATCACGTTCGCTACGTTTTATTTAAAGAAATCGTTGATCAGTGGCGTATGGAGAAGATTTTAAGCGCACCTACCAGAGATGCAGATATTAAGTATTTAACAATCGTGGATAATTTAACGATACGCTTTGTTTATTGTTTATTCGTTTTGGCAATTATACGAACTTTATCTATAAAAATTAATATCCAGGAATTATTACAATTAACAAGCTTAGAAAAGTAATTTACATTTAACTTGTGTCGATATAAGGGCAATTATTTAAATTTGAAATGGCAGAAAATTGATCGAATTTCATGTATTATAATAATTTGTTAAAACTTGGCTAGACGAGGCGGCTCTAAGTGATACAAAGAAAAGAAAAAAAATTATGTGCACCCAACGATGAAAACTCGATGAAAACTATATTTTTATAAGCGCCAAGTAGATTGTTATAAATGGTTAATTTTTCGTTGGCGTCGATTTATTTATACGAATAAAAAGTACACAAACTTAGAACATCCGAATTATTTCTTAAATGAAATTAACATGTACTTTCTTCACACCCGTAAAATCTTCATTTTTTCAATTCAAACGCACGTCGTCTTATTATTTTAGAGAATAGTTTGAATAGCATAAAATCACCCAATGCTTAATAATTAAATTTTAATTTCATTATAATAAAGTTATTTAGTCAATCGACAGTTAATTTTAATTTTAATTTCATTTTCTCTATTCTCTATCTTGTAAAATGTTTTATACCACACAGACAGCTTTATTTAGGTAACTTGATCCCGTAACTTCCAATATTTTATTTAGTCGTGCAAGTCCTACCCGAACTTCATAATTATTGTAAAATATGTAGATTAATTTCAATTAACAAATTTATGTAAAAATGTATACTTGTGTAAAAGTGATGAAAGAAATAAAGTAAATTCTTATGATTATGTGATGATAGAATTTACTCTCTATCCTTGTTCCCCGATTCTCCGTTACAAATTTTCAAAGCCAACTTTCTTCCTTTGTGTGCGTGAGCTCGTGTATGGGCATTAGTAATGAAATATCCCAAACATCTGTGGAACTTGATTTTCCAGCATTCACATAATAATTCGCCGTCTTTTACGTTGACAGTGCCAGCCCGTAAAATGACAACGACTAATAATTATCAGGGAAATTGTATTTTTTGTAAGATTTTAAGGAAAGAAGAGCCTGGCGAGAGCGTTTACGAGGTACAGTATTTTCCAATATAACCTCAAAGCCTAAATAAAGATATTTATTTATGCGTTAATTGAAAGAGAATTTTAAATTTTACGTTTGCCCTAATCACCTTTTTCAGAACGAAGATATTGTTTGTATTAAGGATATAAATCCTGCCTCGACGCATCATTATTTGATTATTCCAAAAATTCATATAGCCAATGCTAAAGTTTTAAAGAAGGAGAACGAAGAGCTGTGTAAGTACTTGGATATAAGCATTGGATTGATATATTGATAGGCGTTTAACAAATTTTGCCTTTAATTCAATTCATCACAGACGATAAGATGATAGCTAGCGTTGATGTTATTAGCGATCGGTTTGGCTTGGAAAAAAGTTCATTAAGGACCGGTTTCCATTGGCCACCCTTCACCACCGTCGGCCATTTACATTTGCACGTTATTTCGCCGGTGGAAAATATGAGTTTCGTTAAGAATATTATGTTCAAACCAAACTCGCTGTGGTTTGTTAGCGTAAGTATGCCTTAGTCCATTACAGACGATATACGACGTTCTTGTACGCCGGCACTAAATTCTTATAAAACTGCAGGCACCCTGTACCATAGACGTCTGTTTATTATTAATGTTTGTTAATGTCGTAGCGATTATTAAATTATGCTCCCGTTTATTAAAATTTATCGATTCTTTCCAGACGGATTATGTGAAATCACGCTTTTAAGACTACGAATATAAATGTCGTTGTCGACATTAATAAGAAGTGAAATTATTTTATTAGAGAATTTGGAGGAGTAATAATTATTGTTATCGAGGTACGTAGTATATCAATTTATTCTCATGCGAGCCTTTACATGCGTCGTCTATTGGAATTATTTGATCTCAAACAAGCTGTTTTATGTAGATTTAATTATATGTAACGGTCATGACATATTCCAATAAAGCTGTGGTATATATATATATATAAAAATTTAACCGATTCTTCCTTGATATCAAACTAACCTCACATATGTATACATTTATTCTCTCCTTGTAGCTAGTACTCTAATCGGACGGTGCTGGATAAGTTCCTTCTTTGAACATACGTTGCCATTCCTTACCATTGGGATAAGCATAATTACGTAAACACGAATCCGTCAACTTTGTAGAATAACCGGGCATGCTCGGAGGCATATAACAAGCATCCTTTATAATCACAGGGTTCTCAAAGTGTTGGTGCTGTTGGTCGACGTACTCTATGAATCTCTTCTCCTTACTCCCATGTAACGAAATAAAGTCCCACATTTGTAAATGCTGAACCATCTCGCAGAGACCTATACCACCAGCGTGTGGGCAAATGGGCACTGCGGTACATGAAACAGTAAATATTTATGAATTTTGTGCGATTATTGTCGTATCTCTCTTACGACATTAAACCGTCGCATTGACAAGCATGAAATAATAATAATAATAGCATTATCATTATCATTTGCTTGTCGTCAGCACACTCGATGGCCACATCAATGAAAATCATGCATTTGGCAAATAAGCTGCTATCAATTATCTAGCATCGCTATTCTATTAAACGTTGTCCCATGAATATATTGAAAAAAGGAGTGTTGGACACTCGATCGTACCGTTAAATTTCTTGGCCATGAGGTAAACGGCCAATATTTCGTTGACGCCTCCGATTCTGGCCGAGTCGATTTGACAATAATCGAGCGCCTCGGCCTGCAGCATCTGCTTGAACACGACCCTGTTGGGGCACATCTCGCCACTCGCGATCCCAATCCCGAGGGGTCGTAGCTCACGGGCGATCCTCGCGTGGCCTAGGACGTCATCCGGCGAGGTCGGCTCCTCGATCCAGATTGGCCGGAACTTGGCTAGCGTCCGCATTCGGTCGATCGCCTCATCGACGTCCCAAACCTGGTTAGCGTCGAGCATCAGCATCCTCTCGTAGCCGATGACCTCGCGGATCAGCTGGCACCGGTGCTCGTCCGCCTCCGTACTCAGTCCGACTTTCGTCTTAAAAGCCTCGAACTTGAGGTCGAGAAACTTGGCGCAGAGCGCGCGCACCTCCTCGTCCCCATAGCCAAGCCAGCCGACCTGGGTCGTGTACGCGGGCAGACCGTCTCTTAATAGGCAGGACTCGCGGCTGTCTCGCATCGCTAGCTCCGACCTCAGCATTTCGATCGCCTCGTCCTTGCTCAGCGCGTCGCTACTGCCGAAGCGAAAAATCTCGTTGCGATTTAAGAAATCGACAGCAGCCTCCCTAACACCGACCATTATCATCGCGACGTCGTCCATCAATGTCAATCAATTTCGTGACGAGTAAGTTGTCGTTTAAAGGTGGTAAAAAAAAAAAATATATATATATATATATATATATATATATAATAACGCCACGAATTTAGGAATTATGACCGCTAAACGACGTTCGTACTCGTTTAGCATGAATTATGGCATTCGCCTCCGAGTCTTTGCAGCCAAAGCGTGTCCTCAAGCGTATCCTCTGCCTGTATTCCTTAATCGTAAAAGAGTCGCTTTGAAGTCTTAAGGCATTTAAGAAATGTACGTAATGTTTATGTAGTAATCTGTTGAATCGGCTTCGATTTGCCTCGAAAGGCTTGAAGATTGAATATTCCTTTTACAAAATGCCCATTGCCCCTGCTATCATTCATTTACTTGACTTATCGAGCGTCTCACGATATATTCATTTTGGAATACGATTATTGGTTAATCAAGATTTTTTTTTTCTTTTCTTTTCTTTTCTTTTTCTTTTATTTTTCTTTTCTTTTCTTTTTTCGTTTTTTTTTCGTTTTTTTTTCGTTTTTTTTTCTCTTGAAACAAAAAGCTTTTATTTTGTGCAATAAAATTGTCGCCCGACAGTTAAAAAAAGTTGTTTTTATTTCAATTTTTCTTTTTGAAATTATTACATCTTATCCAATGGGCATTTAAAAATCCTCGAGTCTATTTAAATTTAACGGTATTACTCGAGCATTTTTTTTTTTTTTTAGAGAAAATTTTATCTATAAAAATACTGTATTTAAAATATTTGTAATATTTATAAATAAATAAATAAATAGATAAATAAATAGATAATTAAATAATAATGATAAAAAGAGAGAGAGAGAGAGAGAGAGAGAGAGAGAGAGAGAAAAGAAGAAAAAAACTCGCAAGACAATAATGCATACGTATATACGCGTGAGCTTATAAGGGAATTGATGAAACAAGGATAAAGAAAATAATATATTGTGCGCGACAGTTATATTTAGGCCGAAGCTATTTAATAAGAAAATTTAATAATAAGGTAATTGACAATTTGTTAAGGGCCAATTATTGTTTAATCGTGAAATATTTTTGTATTTTTATCTTTCCTCAACCGTATGCAGTAATAATATTAACATTATAAAATTAATCGAATTAAGATTTAAAGTGGGATTGTTTAGGGTGATAATATTGGTAATGCGAGTCGGTGGGGGCAATATTTGTCGCTAATCCGGCAAGGATTCGATTCGCTGTTGAATGCGTTATCCTTGATCGGCAATCAAGCGCCATTACATAAGTTCGTAGGATTAGGATTGTGTAGCAACATAATTGAACGAGCGATTGGGAGCGTAAGATTATGCATTGGGGAGCTTGTTAGATGGAGTGGTGCACTAAAGTACTCTTGGAGATGGTGTAGCGTATTATCGGTCGTTTACACGGGATTATTATCTCCATAAATAGAACACTCCCTCCCGACATCTTCTAATCACAAATACTTTGCTCTGCTTTTTCTTTCACTTCCCATTCACCTCGTGACGCAATATTTTGAACGAGCGAGTAGTTGCTCACACCTCGAGGATAGCTTGATTTGTCATTGGCAAAGCTTGTAATATCTATGATGGAGCCGAGGTGGTGTTTAGCGAGGAGACAAGGAGAGTATGGTTATATCTTATCTTTCTTTCGTAGCTGCGAGACATACGTACAATAAATATACTTTCGATATTAATCAGGCAAACGGCTCTTCATCACCACCTCCCGATATTTTAACAGCAATAATATAACGCTTTTTAGGCTTATTCAACGATTATGAATTCGCAACTTAAACGTCAATAGTATCATCTTATCGATAAATATGATTCGATAAATTTAGAGCCTAAATGTAAGCAGTAATCGATCGATGATTCGCCTCTTCCCGGTTATCGTGTAAAATAGGCGAATGCGGGAATGCCATACAAAGATGAAATATCATATAAAGTGATAAAAAACGATTTGTTTGTTTAAATATAAAAGTTACAATTCCGCGTCTTACGTGTATCGAAAATCGATTGTCGAAATCAGTTGCTCCGGGGAGAGGTCGACCAACAATTTCCAAAGAGGTTTCTTCTCGATGCGAGCCCACAAATCCCATAGAGCGTTGACGATTGCCGATGTCGCTAAATGGATTACTCCTTTCTCGGGTCCGAGCTTAAAAGTTACGTGTATTGAAACAAAAAACAAAACAAAACGGAGCGACAAAAAAAAAAAAGAAAAGAAAAAAAATATATAAGAAAAAAAAGAAAAAAAGGCATTAAAATAGGAAGTTGTTTAGCAAAAGGAGGCTCTATTATTATTAAATGTGACGTTGTAAAATTATCGATAGTCGTTTACCCATCGCAATTGAGTTTCACTCGTCAGTTTTCTCCAAAAGGATCCAAAGTCATCGAATATATCTTGAACGTTACATCCTAAAACGAGTTTTGATAACGCTTTGCAAGCCACGACGACTAGTGCATTATTCGTTAACAAAACAAAAAAAAAAAAAAAAACAAAAAAAAACAAAAAAAAAAACAAAAAAAGCAAACACGCAAACAACAAAATACATACATGTAATATATAAGAAATGTATTTGCTTTGCATCAACAATTGCTTACATACTAATTTCAGTTCCTCGGCCTAAGGTAAACGTGAGACCGTAACCCTCGATATTGTCATTTGTCCTTATCGTAACGTAAGCGCAAGAATAATCTGGATCTGTGTGCTGAATAAAAGTTTATTATTGAATTTTTAACGATCGAGCAACTATATATATATATATATATATATGCAAACACGCGCGCACGCGCACCAACACACGCACAAAAAGAAATTTAGAATTCAGTTTAGTGTTACATCAACGTAATGTTAATTTTAAAACAAATTACTTGAAATTATTCTAAATGAAATTTTAATAAGACGATGTGTTATGCGTTCGTAAGGATACGTGTAAATACTTTTTTTACCATTGCGTCACTTCCATCGGATCTTAACGAGGTCGGAAATCGAATATCCTTTATATCAATTGCAATTATTTTCATCTCTTCCAATGTAATTTTATCCTTAATGATATTCATGCAATTAATACTTTCTATAAGAATTCTTAGCTTTGTCAAAAACTAGACGATTCCGCGTTAAACAATTACTTCGAATCGTTCGTGTTCGACTGTTTGGCAAAAAAAAAAAAAAAAAACACACTGTTGCAAACACTTTGAAATTATCAGATTTGAAGTGTTTTTGCTTGCAGCATTGGGCTGGGCTTGGGCTATCAAAATAATGATAAAATTGATTATGGAAAATTACTTTTAAGAACAAGTTTTGTTTGTTTTGTCAGATTGGTTTGCACACTGTACGAGCGAATACGATTATATAAAAAAATTTCATGACGACCCACGATCAATACATAATTCACGAATAATATATTTTTAAATTGCTCAAATAAATGAATGTCTATGTAAAATTCATTTATTATAAGATTAAGGTTTGTAAGCAGAAGGGGAAATTACGAATCTGATGACTTTAATCATAAACTATTATCATAAATGTGATAAGGTAATTGTAATCATCTAATATTATAATTATAACAGAAACAACTCGTATATGACATTTTTGTAATGATTTATCATGGAACAATCAATGTCCGTGTCAAATGACATTTTTTATACCGATGAAGTTTGTTCGATATTTGCATTAGAGCTTGACTCGTTTTCTTATTTTTCTTCACTACGAGCAAAAGCATTCACCATCTCGTTATTACGAGTTTAAAGAAAAGCCAAACTTACTTGAAAAGATGTTATATTTTTAAAGCTTCCTTCGTTATCTAGAGAATGCTTTTTGTTTTTTGGTTTTGTTTTTTGATTTTTTTGTTTTTTGTTTTTGTTGTTTTTGTTTTTTGTTTTACATTATATTACGATAAATTTATATAATCGCTTAACGATAATGACGTTCTTGAAAAGATACGCTTTTTTCAAGGATTTTCCCATGAAACTTGACGATTAAATTTCAATTGGAGAGCAATTTTATTCGACTAGAATTCGTTAGGAATTTTGTAAGCCTGTTAAGTGGCTGTTTGGATTATTGGCAGCCTCGATTACAATTGATGATTAGCCAATTTGTAAATTGTCTTTCTCCAATTGTTTTACGCTCCGTGAGTTTTATCGAGCGCATGCGCACCAATGATTATGCTTAATATATAATTTTAATTGCACTGGAGTTTGTGTTTGTGACGTGATATACATGTGGTGGCACGTGCAAGGGGCTTCGATACTTTATTGAATAAGATTTTTGGTAGGAAAGCGAGGGAGAAAGAATGGCACCTAATCTAGAGGTGATTGTCGGCACGTATGAGCAGTTTTTGCTCGGTTACACGGTCGACGATGTTGTCAACGTAAGCAAGTTATCTCATAATAATATTTCTAGGTTATGTACTGTCCGCTATATATTTTTCAAATTTTTTCTACGTACTTTGCTAATTACGATTCTAATACAGCCTGTCACACTCGATAGATCTTATAATTTTATAATAATTTGCCAATAAGACGCCAAGAGGTGGCATTTTAAAAGCAACGCGTTCAATTACATTTTAAAATTCTTTAATCACTCGCGTAATTAAAGAATTTTTATACTTTATTAAACATGAAATCTAACATTTTATCCTATTCTCATTCGTAGGAATATAAAATGGAGCAGAGTTTTGCTACTCGTAGTCACTTTGCGAGTATTCGCAGTGTGGCTAGTAATAAGAGCTACTTAGCATCAGCCGCTGCTGATGATACCGTCTGCTTATTCGATATGAATAGTAGAATGGAAAGTGGAAAGCTAACGCATCACAGTGGTAAGTAATGTGTTATTCGTGCATTAAAGTACTTTTAAACGATCGATAAAAGTATTGGCAATACATTGGGTCGGTTTAGTCAAGAGTTCTTTATTAATTATATTTGCAATGTAATATTCATCGAATGTCATTAATGCTATTCATTATCTTATTTTGTAGATACTGTGAATAGTATTTCTTTTACACCCGATGCGTCGCATATAATAACGGTGAGCAGCGACGGAACTATAGGAATTATTCGTTGCGGTAATTGGCAGATGGAGAAACATTGGTTAAAGCCACATAAAGGGCTTGGGGTCGATACATTGGCTGTTCATCCTACTGGCAAAATTGCAATGACTACCGGTCGCGATGGCGTTTTACGTACCTGGAATCTTGTTAAAGGTAGACAAGCTTATGCCACAAATTTAGTTCCTAGATGGAAAATTGACGCTAAAAATATTAGCGTTCTGAAATGGAGTCCAAATGGTGAATGTTATCTACTCGCTGCAAATAACAGAATAGACATTTATTCGGTTGAGTCTGCGGGTATCGAGGAAGAGCTTAGTTTTAACGCAAAGGTAATTTGTGTCGAATATTTAGATGATAACTACATCGCCGTTGGTCTAGCCGATGGAAAAATTAGTATCTATAATCTTCAAACTCAAGCTCAAACTAGTGAAATTCAAGCGCACGATCTTAGAGTTAAATGCTTAGCTGTAAATGGCGAACTGTTAGTTTCTGCTTCCAGCTCGGGAGAAATTAAATTGTGGTCCTTCAACGATGAAAGCTTAATCTTATTAAATGCCGTTGATTGCAATGCTAGAATTTCCTGTCTGACATTAACGTCATGTTTAAATTTAAAGCATCGGAAAGAGGAAGCTAATATAGAAGAAGTAGTTTCTGAAAAATTACCAAATAAATTGCGATCGAAACAGCGTGTCGTTATCGAGGACGAAGGTAATGACGAGAATAAATCAAAAAGAGCGAAAAGAAAGAGGAATAAAAAGATTCTCGTGCCAATTTGCGATGATGCAAATTGTAGTGGTAACACGATTACAGAAAATGTAAAGAAAATTAAAACTAATAAAAATGAAAATTCCATGCCAACGAAACGTAAGGGCGATACGACCCAATTGCCACTTTCATGTGGCAAAAAGACGATTTCGGACTTTAATAAAAAGCGAAAGCAAGTGGAGAATTTAGTTGATAAGGATTCGACGGAACTTTCGATAAAGAAGAAAAAACAGAAAGGAGCGATATTAGAAAAAATCGGTCAAGCTAAGGATAAGCAAAATAGTATTATAAATAAGAAAAAGAGAAAAAATACGGAAAAAGATAGATTCGAGAATTTAGAAAAGAAGCAAAAGATATGTTCAGTGGAAAATGTATTGTTGAAAAGGAAAAGGAAAAAGAATTAATTATAGAAACCAGATTTCAAGCTAATATATTGGAATGTACGTTAAGGCAAAGTAATTTAGAGAAGCTTTTCAATTTTGATATTATAAAGGCATAATTTTCATACTTTAGAATTATGAATGTTTTAAAAGTAGTGTTTTATAATCATTACATTTTCCATTATGGAAATTAAATCGAAATAAGATACTATTAAAGAAATTTATTAATTTTCACATAAAACGATTGGAACACTTGGGATTTTTTGCTACACGACATGCACAGTCGCGAAGCCATGCATTACTTATTATGTGGTCGCAGGCATAAATAGGAAGCAACAATTTTTTTTTTTTTTTTTTTTTTTTTTTTTTTTTTTTTATTACGTTTACGGCAATGTACATTAATAAAAATATTCTTGATATTGCCATTTCAATAATTTTACATTGTGTACATTTATGAGCTTTTGCAAGCGTTGCTCGTGCCATTGCATATAAATTAATTTTATCTACGCAAGGCTGACATTTTGAATAAACGAGAGATTTAGTTGGTCTTGGCTTATCCCTTCCCAATTTTCATTTTACTGAAAAATTGTTAATTTTTCTGTTTCGAGTTATTGTTAGGCGGAGAATAACAAATACTGTAACTCTGTGATAATGTATTTAATTGTAGATGAATTTATATAAGCACTGCTAATATTTTTTAATTATTAATAATATTGTATTATGTGTTGTGTATAAAATAAAATGATTTATTCTTTTTCTTTTTAATTATATGTAATTAATTCAACAAATGTATGCATTTAAAAAAATCCCTAATAGATCAAAGAATGTGGTAAGAAATATTGATGTATAAAAATAATAATGAGAGGAGGGAATGATCTTGTATTCAACTTATTTATATTTCCATTTAATATCATAATTTTATTAAACTTAACAATATTTTTTGTGTGTGTCTGTGTGTGTGTGTGCGTGTGCGCGTGTGCGCGTGCGTGTATGTATATATAAATTATATAAAGGACGCTCGCATATGTATGGAAAATAATCGATAGTTCAAATTAATTGTACAACAGATATTACTTAATTATCAAAAAACCTACTACAATACACGTTCTCATGAAATTTCATTTATATTACTTTTAAAACCGCTTATGACAGAAATGCTGATTATTTAACGACAACTTAATATACCTAGCAATATAAACATTTTAAACATTTGCAAACCACGAACAAGGGATATGGATTTTGATAGACTTTTTTTTTTTTTTTTTTTTTTTTTTTTTTTTTTTCTGGACTTGCCGAGATTGACAATTGCAGATTTATTCGGCTTTCTTAGTCCATTTATCTTATGACTTATGTCGATCGACTTACACAAGCAATTATCAATATTTACATACTACAGATTACAATCAGTGTCTTATAGAATATTTACAATTATTAAAACGCAATTCCAAATCACGCCCTTTGTTCTTTATCGCTAGTATTTTCTCTGAAGAATGCCAGAAAGAAGGAGAGCAAGTTATATCCTCGCAAGAATAACTAATTTCACTAAATATCTCTTATTTAAGGTGTACGATTAAATAAACATTGTCACGTATATGTCGTAATTAGGGGAATGCGATATCGTATGGTGATTAGGATATGCGGGGTGGGGTCGGAAGAAAGAGCATCGATAGCTTCACTCGGTAAATAATGTCCCTATCGTGAAAGCGAGATGTCTTGGAAAAAAATTAATTGAAGAATGCTGCGAATGTTTTTCTCGAGTTTCTCTCTCTCTCTCTCTCTCTCTATAATGCGTAGTTTGAAAAAAAAGGAGAAAAATGAGAAAGATACAGTGTAAGAAGAACCGGTGGCTTGTCGCGTTAAATAAAGTCAGCTAAATTATGAAATAGAGAGGAGATATACACTCGTCCAGCAGTGTCCATCCGGACATTCGTTATAAAGTTTAAGGAAAAAGCTTGAAGTGACAAAATAACGATATAATTAATTAATCGTTGAAAACTAACAATTTGTTTGGTATTAATCGATCGGTGAAATGTTCTATAGAGCTTTTGTAATTTTTGGTAATTTTGGACAAGTTATGATATAAATATTAACAAGACAATTAATTACCTTTCACCAGTGCATTTCTGAAATTGATCATTTTTATCAGTATTAATTTAATAGAATTTATATTAAGTGCGATAGTTATGACGGATGTATTTTTCTTAAATTATCGATATAATCGAGTGTTTTTAATAGTAATGATGTAGAATTATTCGAAGTATTTCCGAAACATAATTTATGCGAGTATAATAAAAGTGAGAGCTTATATTAATGAAAATCACTGATCTATAGATTGTAAAAGGTATAAATAAATTTTTTTTTTTTTTTTTTTTTTTTGATAATAGAGAAGAGGAAAATGATGATGAAGCAGCAAGAGAAGGATAGTCGTATATACGAGTTACATAATCGAGACAAGTCGGAATAAAAAAATATGGAAACAACTATACGGAGTGATTCATGTTACAATGCCCTGAATATAATTAAAACCACACATAGAGAGAGAGAGAGAGAGAGAGAGAGAGAGCGAGCGTTAAGAATACATACACGTCAGAATCGTGTATAACAAATTACTTGATGCGAGTGCATAATAAACGAAAACTAAACTCGAGCATGAATACGAGTCCTTTACATAGACTTACTCTCTCTCACACACACGCACGCACGCGCACACACACACACACACGCACATCATCATCATCATCATCATCATCATCATCTGTTTCTTTCTATCTACAAATGAAAGCAAAGGTTGAAATTTAAATGTAACTCGTGACTCGATTAATTTACTATTCTCTCGTAAGCTTTTCGGTAATTTTATTATCATACGCATGGCTTTCCCATACATTCTCGCATAATTATATTGTTTGAACTCCGTTATCGATGCTTATATTTTTAATGCTGAAAAGTAAATATTTTATTCGTATTTCACTTTGTTTATATGCTAAAGTCGTTAAAGCGTGAAATTTTACGCTTAAATTACGCCAAGTACGTGACAGCATAGTTTACTTTAATTGTTTTAAAACTTATCGTTACACATCGTTAGTTTAAGAAACTTTTATTAAAAATGTTTAAAGCGATTTAAAGGCAATGTTAATGCTTTTACACTTATATATTATTCGATTAATACTCGTAAACTAAATAATAGACGATTCATTTCTACATAAAAACCTTAATTTTATTGTTTATATTTTTGAAAGCTTACCATCTTTCGTATTTGCAATTATTTATATAAATCGTACGATAAACCAAATGAGCATGGCAATTGTCAATTAAATTTTTGCTAGTTCTATTGACTTACACAACGTATTTGTACTTTTAAACACTCAAATCCATTTTTAATATCTCATGTAGTACAATAGTGTTTATTTAATTTTATCTTGTAATATCCTTCTTTGCTTACTTAATATTAAGTAAATAAAAGTTACAGCGACAGACTGTTCGTATTTTATAAGCAAATTTATTTCACTTTTATAAACTGCATTTATTTAATTTAATTTATTAAGCATCTTCCATGTATATTAAAATCAACTATGTTTTCTTATTCTTTATACGCTGCTATTGAAATTTTTTTTCTTAATTCCGTGCAATGTAACATTTTATGTCGGTGGGCTGATTTATTTTATTTTATTTATAGAATTAAAGTTACTTTTTGTAATATGTAATATTAATGGATATATAGATAGTAAAGTGTACAATTATAAATCGCTTATTTATCGTTAATATCCTTGTTAACAATGCCTACCTATTTTCATTATAAATATATGTATAAATTACTTTATTAGCTTATGGTTTAGATTTTATTTACTATGTAATAAACGCGATAACCAGTCAAAGAAAATTGTAGAAAATTGTGTGAATTATTGCGACAGTATCTATCGAGTATGATTATAAAATGTAATTATAAAATTAACAAATTATTTGTAATAATAATAATAATATATTGAATTAAAAATTTAAATGCATTTTATTTTATTAAATTGATATTTTCTTTTTCTTTTCTTTTTTTTTTTAACAAATTTGTAATTCAAATATCTATCACAGATTTACGAGAAAAAAAAAAAGAAAAAAAGAAAAAAAGGAAAAAAAAAAAGAGAAAAAAAATAAGTAATAACGATGATTCATAAATAGTATGCTAGAATTAAAGAGAGAAAAAAATTAATAGCGTCATACAACTAATATATTATTATTGTTGTCGCTGTTTATTATTATTACTTATTATTATCATTATCATTATCATTATCATTAATATTATCATTGTTTTAATAGATTTTTTTTTTGTTTTATAAAAATGTACTTGTTTTTTATAAACATAAATTCAAAAATAGATTATACAAAATACTAAAATGATCAATAGATACGTAATAAATTGTCATGAAGCTTATTTTACTTCTAAGGTAAGAGTACTAGTATACATGTTTGTTGAGTTTTTTGTTTTTGTTTTTGTTTTTGTTTTTGTTTTTTCTTTCTTTCATTAACTTCAACTTGTATAAAGGTATAAATATATACTTGAAGTACGTGCACGCCTTTGTAAGAATAACTTACAACGTCAACTACTTTTACTATTTTTACAATATATATTTTATGTACTTGTAGTGGGGCGAGCATCGAGAGATTATTCTCGCTCAAATGATTCAAAAACAAGTGCAGCCACGTAACGTAATTTTGACGATTAAGTAAGTATTCGAGGATAACAAAAAAAAAATTGTGACATCTACGGCAACAAAGATAAAAATCCTATAATATTTCGGGCATTCAATGGAATCGCGTGTCACCCTCGATTCAATTAACATTTGAAGTATAAAAATATTTTTGTCCCACTGGGAATACAAATTACAGTCCAACAAGGCCGCCGATGCTTCAACGATTTCAATTGAAGTTTTAAAAATAAATGCATAATGGTGAATTTTAACTTGATAATCGTACTTGCAGATTGCCTATCCAAAATTACATTTTTACGATTCATCCGCATCAACGAGGTGCTAAAATTGTCAAAACAAAGTAAACAATAAGCTACCCCAAATTCCCCAAAATCAAGAAATAATCGATCACTGATAAATGTGCCCGAATTGCGTATCAACAGTAGCCCAATTGCATAAATAAATTCATGCGAAAGCATGAAAGAAATGACACGCGTTTACTAATCGCAGCACACTTTGGGTAATACACGAGGGCACACGCGCACACAATCGTCCCTCGTGTCCTTACAACACGGCGGGCGACGCCGAGTCCGACAACGTCTTCGCCGTCCTCATCCTCCGATGCTCCTCTCGTTAATCGATGCGAGGATCCGTGGGTCACCACAGAATACACTTGTGCGCCGGGTTCATGGGACTTCCGGTCGGACATTTCCAGGCTTCGGCGAACTCGACGTTGTTCGACAGTGTCCCGATGACTCTGAAGTGGTTGGGCGCGTGCATACCCTCGACGAGTCGTGATTTTAGCGCCCCGCTGGTATGATTGCCGCACCAGACCTGAAAACAAATACATGGCTGGCCACGTGTTCGTTCAAACTCGGCTGCAGGAGGAACTACGGTGCTTCCGAGGCCGTTCGGACGTTAATTACGTTGAATTAAGCAAGTTCTTGGGTTCTTATATCGCCTCTCTGACTCTGAGACATTTTGCCGGGGCTTCTTCGACGAGCTAATGTATATTTGGGGGGCGGGGGGGAGGCTGGAAAATGTAAGAATAATGGGCGAGAGAGAGAGAGAGAGAGAGAGAGAGAGAGAGAGAGACTCGAGAACTTCCGTGGATGCTATTGAAGCGTTTCGTCGAGGTGAGACGTGATTTTCGAAATGCATCGATGCACCTATTTATTTCATAGAAATTACTGTTTCATTTACATATAAATGGTCGTTACCATTCGAGATTTTACACTTTTGCGTTATATTGGAGGAAATGGCAAACGAAAAAGTAGTACCAACTCGACTTTAGTGTGCCGTTATTCTAAAACCGTTACATTTTATAGCAAGTACATTCCTACAAACGCGTTGCGTGTTTACTTTATGAAAGTGAAACGTCGAGTGTTGGCAATAAAATTTGTCTTTAGCTATCATTACGTTTGTCGATTATCGGTAAAAAGTTGATTTATTATCCGTAAGCTCTTTGAAAACGTCTTGCTTTTAAATTTTAGAAGAGTCGAAGATTCGTGTATCGGAATTAAGTAAAAAAAAAAAAAAAAAGAAAGAAAAAGATTTAAAACGATGATGTTTATAGGAGAGAACTACCACTTCAATGTCGTGTGCCTTGAGAATTTTATAGGAGAATACCTTCAGATGACTTTCAAAGAGATATTAAAAATATAATAATATTAATAATCACATAGGCTACGAGCGATATTAATTAATCAATCTGTCGCCATCTCCGACAACTCGTGATCTCATTCGTTCGCTGATCATAGCTCACAGCCCGTCAAAATTGTCCAACTGGACCTTCCTTCCCATCCCCTCCACCCTCCTCCTCCACCCTCCTCCACTCCCACCCTCCCCCACCCTCCCCCGGGTCAGCCGTAACTAACCTTGAGCAATGTTTCGCAATCGTTGCGTCTCTCAAAACTCAATTCCCTCGGTACAAGCTTATACCTCGTATAAGCGCACTGGAGGTGAGAGGATGAGAATCGCTCGAAGGTGCTCTATAGCCCTCGCGTCTAATTACCTGGGCGAATCCTAGGAAGAACAGCTGATCTTGGGTGTAGTCGACGAGGCCGGGTAGCGCGAGCTGATTGGGATTGCGTGATTTCAGCTTCTGGTACGCCCTGTAAGCCTCGCGAATCCCTCCGTTGTCCGCGATGTTTTCACCTTGCGTGTTGATACCGTTCACCTGCAGCGTAACGAAATATGTCATTTAAAAAGTCATTTAGATCCATTTCCTCCATCTGTCATTTGTTAGTGTTTGAATATTGGATAGAGATGTCCCGAGTTTATAAGTAGAATGTTTTGCAGCTACTTTCTCACTCTGCGCGGGGATTAACGGATTAACGCTCGTAAAAAAAAAAAAAAAAAAAAAAAAAAAAAAAATTATTTGGATGCTGCACTATTTCAGCACAAATTCATGTATATCGATATGAAAATAATGCTCAGGAGTATTTGCATCCTAATCTCGTGTAGTACGCGATTGTTAAAGGGAAGGGCATCCGAGTAGGAATACAGCGATACAATTGGCTAAAGATTATTATGCTCGTGGATAGCGAGGGCTTGGAGAGGCTTGAAATTCCCTAGGAAACTTCTGATGGCAAATCATGGATTATAGTGCACGTAAATTGGAGAAACTCGGGCGTGGCACGAGTTCCTCCCGCTATCTTCTCCAAGATGCACAAAGGAATTTCCTCTATGGTCGCGCGCGGAGCCAAATAAAACCGATCGATCGTCGGGAGAATAATTTCGCTGAGCTTCCGGTTTCGGCTACTCGCTCATTGTTTCGGCCGCGCGAGTTTAGCCTGTTGCGCTTATGAGTGAGATTGGAATTTGCCGGATGTGCAACGAGTGGAATTTATTGAAAATGCGGTTGTTGGAGCGAGCGATATGCGCCATTTGTATGTTGGAACGTTGAAAAATCAACGATTTACGTTGATGTTTGAAAGAGCGAGATGATGACGACGAGGACGACGACGACGAGGACGACGACGACGACGACGACGACGACGACGACGACGACGACGACAATGCAATTGTACTTTCAACATTCCAGCCCGAACGTAATTCATGAATATTCCGATATGTTTATATTAATTCGGGACGTTGTGACTGCCCATTCATTGTATTACTTGTATCACGAGTATCTAGATGCTTTCATTAATCTCTCTTTATCAGCTTTTGTAATTGCCGTTTGTAGTATATAGATAATTAATGCCATTTTGGACTTGAAAATATTCGATCTCTCGTGACGTTTCGATCGCTGCGTTGCATTAAACAGTATTGTTCACTTTTTGTTAGACAATAAAGCCGATTAAACGTTGAGTCTCTGTCGCACATTTGCTTTTACAATATCGAGAGCCATTACAATCGATGGCATACGATTATGGAAAATTCTTTAATTATGCATATTTGATTCAGCGTTAGTCACTGCTTACGCGAATAATATATCTGCCGAAATTTACAATCCCGACAGCCTACCAATCTAATCGTTAAAAACCTTTAATTATCATTGTACACTCGTGCCAATTATTTTTCAAGAAACTTGAATCGATGCAAGCAGTACTTGAAAAATAATGAACATTCCGGCACTTTTAATTAATAGGAGATTGGATAATTTTGCAAATTATAATTTAATATAACGCTCGAATTAAATGTTCACCTTAATGCGGATTACGAGGTAGCTTAAAAGTTGTACGACCAACAATTATTTCCACGGCACTCGTCCGTCACCTCCACCCCCCCCGCCCCCCGCCCCTAAATACGTTTGTCGGGAAATCAATTTATCGATGAACGGTAAGATAAATTTGCATAAAAGCTATTTCACATCTTCGAATCCGGTGCTTCGAAAGTGATAAATTTTCCGCAAAAGGTACATCAAGCCTTCGAACAGTTCACAGAACAATAAAATCTCTAACATCATCCAAACGACACTCAAAAGAGTACCACAAAGCGTTCTCGGCCCGAAAAAATCATTTCCATTGTGAAATCATATAAAGTGCTTGGGAATAGGGCGCAAAAGCGCAGGCGAGTTTGCATAAACGCATCTGGCAAGGGGATTTTGCGAGCCATGTAATTGCTAACAGCAGGATTACTGCGAGAGAGGAAAAAATGAACTAAAGCAAGAAGGGAGAGAAGGAAAGGGGGAAGAAGTGAAAATGGCGTTGGAGTAAACGACAAAAATAATGACGAGTTACGATATCTGCGACAGAAGAGCGAGAAGATCCGGATATTATAAAAAAGAAGAAAGAAAGAAAGAATAAACGGTTGAGGGTGTTGAGGGTGGGGGGTTGGGGGTTGGGGGTTTGGGTGGGAGGAGGGTGGAGGAAGCGGTGGGAGTGGAGAGCGGAGCGCGGGATAGAACAAAAATGAAATAATGAGCCTTTTTCTAGTGGTGGCCAACTCATGCTCCTGCTACCGTTGCTGTTACTAGAGATGAAAAGAAAAAATGTGGAAGGGATAGAGGAGGAAAAATGTGTAGGTGCATGTCTCGTTCGAGAGACGATAAAGTAAATTACCGACGACAAGATGAGTGTAAACTTCCAGTTACAGGCTTTGACTCTTTATAAGTGTATTATCAAAATTCATTTTTTTTAAACAGTAAATAACGCTATTATTATTATTATTATTATTATTATTATTATTATTATTTGTCAAGAATAAAAATCTGGCGCCTAATTGAGGATTTTCATGATGTTTTTTCTTTCGCTAGAGACGAAAAAAAAAATTGCAATTTTGGCCTTTGCCCAATCGTAATTTATGCTCTCGGTGTTCTCCTTTCTCTGTCTCTCTCTCTCTCTCTCTCTCTCTCTCTCTCTCTCTCTCTATTTAGTTTTGTCTCTTTGTTAACGTCGGTTGTATAAATAGAAATAGACGGTCAATAGCTGGTCAATACTTTTAATGACAAATATATTATTTTTGAAAAACTTACTTTTCAAGGTTTAAATCCCACGACTTATGAAAGCCAATGTAATTGGCGTAATTGGTATAGCAGACAATATAATAAATTCAATGACAAAATCCTAATAGAATATACAACGCATCCCAATATATTAATTACGACTTAACTAACATTTTGCTGCTCAATATCGCCGACAATGATAGATAAATAGCAAAATTTCTTATAACTATCATAATATTTTATTTATGCGTTGTGCGTGTTCGCTCTGCCGGGAATAACAACTAAAAGTAAGACAGTCGCTGAATTAGACTTTCATTTTGCGATTGGAGAAATTAATCTGACTCTGGTGTGACATTATTTGCTGCCTCTTTCCGTTTAAAAGTTTTAATCTTGCGAGTTTTGCGCGGCCTTTGCATTCGCAGATTCGCAGCTTTGACGATAAATTGTCAAAATAAGCCTCGCGCTCGTTAATTTAAAATATTTCACAGGGAGCTTAAATCGGCGCAGCGAAGCACGAGCGCGAATGTTTTATTTCAAGATTCAAGCACTTTACTGCATGTGAGTAGTGCTTGATGTATCGTCGTGGAACTGACAACAATGGCTTTGAAGGCGTTCCTCGCTATTCCGCTTATACGCAGTGAAAAAACTTAATTAGAAATGCCGAGGCCAGCGATTGTTTCAATATCCTATAAACGAGTGCATTAAATAAGCTAAAATAATTAATAATATCGAGGCGGGCCTTATATGATAGGAGAACAAATCACTTTCTACTTTCTATTCGAGCTCATCGATCGATTCGTTAGCTGACAAATTCACAAAGTCGCCTCGAGTCAATAATAAGTAGTGTCATCGCATACGGATTCGCATATGCACTAAGTTTGCATAACTTGTACTCAAATCCCTAGGTATTCACAAACACAAACACAAACACAAACACAAACACGCACAAAAAAAAAAATTATTTATTGTTATGCATAATGGCGTGTTTGTGAATGCCCGTGCGCGCTCGCGATCTCTTGATCGTTCGTTCGTTTATGTAACGCGGTAAGCAATTTATTGAAACTTGATTATAAAAAAAAAAAAAAAAAATGTTATAGAATGTAATCGATGGATTTATTATAGATGGATTATAGGAGGGCAATGATTATAATTCAAATGCATCGCTGGCAGAATTAAAAGATTATTTTCAATGGTGTCAAAATTTTCGGAGCGACTATTTTTCTCATAATAGATATTTAAAGTATAAACGTAATGAAAAGCATGCGTAGACAAAATACAAAAAAAAAAAAAAGAAAAAAAAAAGACAAGTTGTTCTTTTATCGCAGATAAAGTAAATAATTGGACATCATAAAATTGTATAAATATTCAAACTTTTTGTTATTATGCTTATTTGCTTGGTTGTGCAATATTTTTCACTATTCGACTGCACGTTCATGGTCATTAATAATAAACAGTTTCTTCATCTTTAGACAAATTTACGAAAATTTCGTCATAAATGTATATATTGAAAAATGTCCCACGATTGATTATCGTAAATGCTTTACAGTAATTTTACCTACAATAATTAAAGCTTAATGTCGACAACGGAATAATATTTCATCCAATGGCTGATATTTTACTTATCGTAAGAGTCTGCTATCCAGCCAATCATACTTAATAAAAATTTGTCGACGACGTAACCATACATAATGCAAAAAAAATAATTATAATTTTCCCCGCAATATGTCACACCATCGTTTAGTATATAAAGCAAGGATTCAGTCCCACGGATACTGGATACTGGATACTCGCTCATGTTTAATACTAAAATCTCGCCTTAACCTAGTCAAACGATATTGAAACGTTCGAGCGCTCTCGGGAAAAAGTAATGACAAAGACATTTATCAACTCATATTGGCCGTAATGTATATTACGCGTTGTTGTCAAGCTGTTGGAGCGCGCGGAATTTCGATTTGAACATGGCCGAGGCTTGGGCACTTTTAAATTTCGACATTCTAAGGAGCTGTCTCTGTATAAAGGATCGAGCCCCGGTCGATAAGCCTCGCTCCACCAACGCTACGTCGCCTTTCGAGACAGACGGGCCCCTCCTCCTCCTCCTCCTCCTCCTCCTCGACAGGACCCACCACTTCCATAATCCCGTAAACAATAAAAGAGAAGAAAGAGACTGATAAAGAAGGTAAGAAGCGACGGGGACGGTGATGGGCGCAGAAGATGAAAGTCGCAAGGGATCGAGGGTGAAGAAACACTTACCGTGAAATTGTTACCCAGCTCCGGTAAATGGTAGCTGCCGTACTGCTTGATAATGCACTCGACTTTGGCGTGATAATGCCGCAGCGTCTCCTCGCTCCACCATTCTCGCAGATTCCCGTTCTCGTCGTACTTCCGACCTGCGCCAAACACAAGTACACGCGCGCGTGCACCGTTGGTACTTTACTTCGGGCGCCCATTCGTATTCGCGCACCATCACCATCAGTATCACAACCCTCACCCTGCCAAGGGTGGCCACTACTCTTGCATAAATAATCGAGAGACAACGGCCGGCCGAGAAGCGTTCCCATCGCGCCGGGGGCACTCCAGCGCACACTCCACTAGGCCAAAGCTAGGTCCAAGAGCGAGAGAGAGAGTCCGCGTATCGAGCAGGTATTACCGAATAAAAATACCAGCGGCTCTTACGTATGTAGATTGAGATTTTTGCAAGCTCGAGCGGCTTCCACGTCGACAATATAATGTCGAATGTCAGCGACACGATGACGCGAGCGCAACATTTACGATCGACCGAGCGTGCGCTTTCAAGCTGACTAATCCCCGTAGCCCAAAGCCCACCACGAGCTTATCGATCATAAAGCTTATCGATCATCGTCTTATAAAGCTAAATAATGTTGAATAGAAAGATATTATAAGCGTACACGTGTACGCGCGTACCTTGGCACAATTCATCAAGTGAATTTTCGTTGAATTCTCATTGTGCTTGCGAAACTCGCAAGATACGAGCTTTATCTCTGCGAGTGACAATCCATATAGTAAATCTCGCGATACAAATTTTACTAGCGCATAAAGCTTAATGCGCTCCGTTTTGTTATGCTTTAGCGCATTTATCATTTTCCCCCTCCCCCCTCCCCCCTCCCCCTCCCCCATCCACGATTAAATACCACCGCCGCAATAGTAATAAATATTCAATTTGTCGTTCGTTAATTTTGGCTTATCGATGTGGCTACTCGACCGATAGGCTCGATACTCGGGGAGAAAAGCAAAAAAGCAAAAAAAGCAAAAAAAAAAAAAAAAACACAACCGTACGAGTTAAAAGTTTCGTCCTACTACTCGTCGCGAGTGGCAGCTAAATTTTTTACGCGCAAGCCCCAAGCCGAGCATTACGAGAACACATTGCATCTTAAATCGGAAATTACTTAAGCTTCTTGAGAAGAACTTGTCATCGAGACTTTTTTCCCCTCCCCTACGACATCTCCCACATCGGGACGTCTATTATTCCGTCTCGAGTTGATTAATCACCCACGCCGACTATCCGAGACGTTTGACGCGAATACCTAGCAATCCACCCACCGACGACGAATAACCGAATATATTTAAGGAAAGGTAGGGGTGGGACGGAGGATCGACGACAGCGGGCTTTTCAATCGAATCGCAAAAGAAAGGGGAAAATAAATTTCCTCCTCGGTAAGCTAAACATGAAATAATTACCTCGGCGAATAAAGTCCCGCGGCCCATAACTTTGACACCCCGTGGTGCCGCATATGCGCACGTCCGCACATCTGGCGAAAATCGCCTATAATAATTTAGAGAAAATCGCTGGCCGGCCGTTTTCGTCGTTTTGGCCATTCCCTCTTCCTCCTCCTCCTCCTCCTCCTCCCAACTTATCCCCCCCCCCCCCCCCCCCCCCATACCTTGGTCGTCGAAGCCATGCGTTAATTCGTGGCCCATTATCGCACCCATCGCTCCGTAGTTTATGGATCTGGGGAATAATCGAAGAATTTCCATTAGGACGATATGTTGGAGATAAGCGGGCGGAAGCGCTCGTTTCGTTAGGACTTGGAGCTAGCGATACGAGCCGACTTCCGCCCCGGGAAACGAACGAAGCGCGCCCACGAGCCCGCAGAGATAAAGGACGAGCCCGACATGCATGAATAATTGCGCGAGGACTTCTTTGCCGTTGATTGTTTTCTCGTTACACTCGCGTTTATTGGCTTATTTGGTAAGGATAGGAGGGACGCCGGGCAATCCTTATTATCCCTTATTCCCTTATTAAATCTCACGGACTTGCCGCGACATTACTTAGCCAGCATGAGTGAAATGAAATTATTCGTCCATTTTGCCGATGGTTTTTACGTCAATAAAGCGCGCACATAATTCTTGATAAGATCGCATCGGAGTCCTCACGAGCGAGGGCGACCACGTTTTTTTTTTACACGACCCGTTATTTACGAAATTTATACTTTACGTTATTTATAAGTATTTTTTATTTATACGTATGTACAGGTGTGGAAGATAGCGTTGTATGGCGTGAAAAGCGAGGATTTACGTGGTCGTTAATTAATTATTTAAAGAAATTACTTTCCAATCGAAGGCTAATCGATCGACGCAATTCTTTCGCGGTTAAGACCGAAGAAGTAAGAAGTTGGACTCGCAGCAATTGGGGTATTAAATGTAAACAAAAATTAACGTTTGCATGGAATTGTGAATTTTGTAAATATTTAAAACGATTGATTTTACGCGCGATTTGACATTGTCGAGCTAACCGATAGAAAAATTTGGAAAACAAAGCTATAATAAATATTTAGTCAAAAAAAAAAAAAAAAAAAAAAAAAAAAAAAAAAAAAAAAAAAAAAAAAAAAAAAAATACTTAATAGAGATTTTTCATTAGATTTTATTTAACAAGTTTAACAGCCGAAGAAATCATTGAAATAATATTGTTGTTTTGGGGCAAAAAAAAACCTTTTTGCCTTTCATTATTAAAGCTTTTCGTTTATTATATTCTTAATCCTTGAAGGCAAAAATAATTGCAACGGCAATGTTAATGTACATCGAACTCTATTGACGTTGGGAAATAATCGCGACACTTTAATGTTGCAATGCTTTTAAAAATTCTTACGATAAATAATCGGACTAAAATGTTATGAACTGATTAACGACGAGCTTCCCCACATGCCTTTTCCATATTAATTTCACTCTTTCAATCGACATAATAAATCATGATTAATGAATATCAAATAAAAAATTATTAAAAGACAAAGAAAAAAAAAAATAATATGCCAGGGTAGGATGTGACAAGTCGCAAAGTTTTAAGCTTAAAAACTAAATAAACTACAATAGAATATTATATAGATCAAGCCCAAAGTGAAGCAGTAGCGCCGGATTTCCTTAAACGGACAAAAAAAAAATATATATATATATATATTTTCTCTTTTGCGCACACTTTTTTTAAATTATAAAAACCAATAAAGAGATGAAAAAATATTAAAGGCATCGTTAAATTTGTTTTTAAGGTTATAACATATTCTCTTTGATAATAATGACTATTGTCATTTACTCCCGAAAGTTTAAAAGAATTTTCCATGACAATTAGAACGAGACACGCGATAAAGCAGCTCGTAAAAAGCCGACACGGGCACTTTTCCGGTTAATAAGTCAGTGCTTCACCGCTTTTCCCCTACACATGTCTTTTT